AAAATTTCTTTAATAAAAATTATATACATAAGGAAATGAGGAAGGAATGAGCGAACTGTGAAGGGGGGACTTACTGAACCCCAGGAAGGAGAAAAGTCGTTAAAATTAACCTATTTGAAGTTCAGTACAATTCTCCCAAGCGTCCCTCCACGCACCCTGCTTTTCTTGGATTCTTACCTCTTTTCAAGTGTGGTGGTGTATTAGGATGCGATTTTTTGTTCGAAGCTGAAAGAACAAGGGAAAAGCCTGTGATTATTTGTAAAAGAGGATGCTGTATATCATGAACTTGTTTGTTACACCCATCCAAGGAAAGCCCAAGAAAAAAATTGCATTTCCTTCGCCAATTTCTTTCATTCCCCTTATCCTTTAAAATGGGGAGCTGCTGCTCTCAGCAAACCATTATCCTCCTCTTTTAAGCTCACTGACAAATACCGATAGGCTTCATGTTCGCTCCTTTCTTTCAAACAGCAAAAAATCTCTGCATACTTTGGATGCTCCTAAATAACAGGAATTGGACAAATCTCTTACCCAAGGAGAGGCATGTCTCTTTGTGTTATGATTATTTAGGCTGCAGCCAAGGCAATTGAGGCCTTTAGGCTCTTTGTAAATAGCATGTTCATTCATCTCACACTCATGACCTTTTTTTTTATTATTTTAAATGCATTATTTCCAACACAGTAAGTTATTCCCTTTACGAAAATGGCAGACCTAGATGGAAAAACAGCATCTGCAGCCCACCCTTCCTTCACTAAACTCAGCATCAGAAACAGTTACATTCACTTTATCCCTACCTTGTGAGGCAGGTGAGGTCAAATTAGCATGTGGCCACAGGCTAAATCACAAATGAGCAGAGGCTTGCAACCAGGATCAAAGTAGACAATGTCTATACTTGTAAGAACCAGAATCTGAACCTACACTTCCCAAATTTCCTAAGCCTTGGTTAGAGGCCCTCTTCTGGCAAAATACAAAGAACAGAAATACCATTTGACTATGAAAATATCTTCCTCCCCACAACCGGATACTCTCTATCATACTATGAGTCTCCACCTTCCAACAAGCTTCATGGACAGGGAGAATGGAGGGATTGTACTCTAACACCCATAGTAGGAACCAGGAGGGCTGCTTTCCATTCTAGCCATGCATCTCCCAGAGAGATTTCTGCAATGCCCCGAGTTGAACAGCAAAGCAGCAACACTACGATGAACCCCACAGGAACACTGCAGGCACAGGGGACGCACCACTGGTTTTCATCAGCCCCGAGTGATGCAAGAAACTAGGAGAATTAGGGATCCAAGAACTGTTATGCAACTTAGTGGAAAGATGTATGTTTATGTGTGTGAAGGAGGATGGTCCCCAAGGAACTAGAGAAACAGGCATTCCAAGTAACCAGAGCACCCTAGGGGGTGACCTTCCCAACTTTTGCAGGGAAATGGAGTATCATCGTCCTCACCTACTGGCAAATGGGCCTCCGTCTTAGACTTCTCCAACAGTTTAATAACAGATTCTGACAAATCCTCCAAAGTTCTCAGCAAGGCAAGATTTCGTTTCCAATGGGGGGGAAAAAAGCTCAAACTACAAGAAGTGCTCTGTCCTCAGGGTCACTTGCCAGGCCACAGCAAGCGTACAGCTGTGGGGAAGGATGTAGCCTCAGAGCTGGCCAAGCGCCCACAGTTTCAAATTATTTTAGAAGAGAAAACAAGCCCCATCAGCGTTCCCTTCTGGGAGTTGGAAACGAAGCAAGCCAGGAAAAAGGTTTGGCTACACCACAAAACCCAACTATCACCCTTAAGCTCGCTCTGGAAATCTGGGCGCCGAACTCTCAAACTTAAGGGCTAGGAAGGAAATGGGAATTGCTCGGGGGAATCCTCAACACACTATATGTTCGTTTTAAAATAACCCCCTTACTCACCCCATACCTTATGAAATTTTGCTTAATATGAAAATAGGGTCAATCGCTCCCCCGCCTTTATGCAGTATATGCAAACCCTACGGCCGCTTCTTTTTAAAATATGCATTGCCTGTTAGATGAGCAAATGCACCCCTCGAGCTCTGATCTCTCCCTGGGTAGGAAGCCGACCCAGGCACAGGCCGGGACCTGTGAGCGGCCGCTACCTGGCAGGAAAAGGGCGAAGAAAACGACCGCCTCCCTTCCAGCCAGCGGTCGGGCACATCTGGAGAGAGGAAAGGACCGGCCAACCCTGGCCAGGGTTTCGGGCTCAGGGGAAACGAAAGCGCCGCGCATCGCGCAAGCGGAGCTCAGTTTGGAGCGCCAGCCCCGCCGCGCATCTCTGCCTGCCCAGCGAAGGGCGGCGGGGCGGAGAGAAGACAAAGCTCCGCGAACAGCCCCGGGATTTCTCCGGCCACCCAAACCCTCCGCCGGGCGCCCGAGCCCCGCTTTTCTTAAGCGCAGGCAGCCGCGCCCCCGGGTGCTTCTCCTCTCTCAGCTCCGCACCTTCCTGCGCGGCCCCTTCTCGCCCGCGATCCTCTCCCCCACTCGCTGGCTGCGGCTCATTCCCCTCTCGCGGCTCATCGTCTTCCGCTCTCGGCTCCGGCCGGCTCCCAAATGCCTCCTCCCTCCTCCCGCTCGCGATGGCCACAGACGGCTTTAAACGCGCGCCCCTCCCCTCCACATGACGCAATCCTTGCGCCATATCTGGCCAATTGGCGACGCCGCACCTTTCCATTGGCGGAACGAGAGTAGCCCCCCCGCTGCCCAATGGGCCGCCGCCGTCCTTTCGCTACGCCCCGCCTTCTCCAGTGCGGGTGACGCAGCTCCGCTGTGGTGGATACTGCCGCGTCGCACCCGGAAATGACTCCTCCCGAAATTTTCCCCCTCCCTTCAGGGTCACGAGTCTTTAAGTGGGTGAGTCATGCGCTGGGATGATGCAATGTCCTGGCAACCGTTGGCGGTCACGGCAGCGGGAGCTGAGGCTGGAGTCCTGACCTTGGCCCTCCTAGGTCCCCTTTACTGGGCCTGCCTTGTTTCCTTTCTCTTTTCCCTCCCCCTCCTCCAACGAGCCTGTGCCCAAATCTCCCAGTAGTAACTAGGCCGAATTACGTTGGGAGGCCCCCGATAATCTTTGATGACGTCACGCCACGCCCACCGTTCTGGTTAAAGGGCCAGTTCTCCCTGGGGAACCAGTGGCAAGGCCTTGACTGTCCTTGCATACTTGGCCCCCTGTGGCTCTATGCCGTTATTGTTGTTGTTCTCACCTGAAAAGGGAGGGGCTTTTGGAATGTAGAATATTTGGAATATTTAAATAAATAATAGAGCTGCCGATCAGTCCAACATACTGGATTAACAGCACGGATTTGAAAGGAATAAGCCTGTATACATTTGCCTTTGAATAAAATGAGAGTTCTGAAGAAAAAGCATTCTCTCCCTTGGTTTTTAATGATGCCATACGTGAATTTCAGAAAGCCCAACTCTTGTAAATGAGTTCATTTTTTAAAATAATCTGCTCTCTGGTGAATAAGCAATTCCTCTTAATCAGAACGTTTTAAACCAGTCATTTTAGCTGGCTAAGCCTAAATATTGCACTTGAAATAAAAAGCAAGCAGTTCCTTGGGGAGGAGAAGGGATCTGGAAAAGGTGTATATCCGGATTGTGTCTCTTGTTACCTCAGTGAGACCTAATCAAGGAAAGGAGGTAGCAGACCTTTGCCCAGTCCTAACAATGCTTGTTTAGGAGTGCAGTTTGCTTCCTCACAATACTTGCAGAATTTCATCTGGCAGATTTTTAGATAATATACATACATAATTTCATGCATAGAAGGGGCCCATTCCGATGCCTGGGGAAAAGTTTAAAACAGACTAATAAGGACACATAGCAACTATATATTAGTCTAAAAGAAAAGGCTATTTTTGGTAAGTTTGTCAAAATTGGTCTTGGCACAATAATCCAGGCTAGTTCCAATTTTACACAGATAGGATTACTAAACAATTTACTATTTTAAACAACAAGAAAAAGCCTACCTGCTCTGTGTATCAAATAGCTAAAATACTAGACTCTTTAATGGATTTCATTCATCTAGTGATTGAAGCCTCTTAAATAGGTTTCATAAAAACTGAATTTGGGAAAGTGCCTTTAATTTAATTTATTGTATTGGCAATGTAATTTTGAAAACCTTGATATTTCACTTGCTTGTTATGCTTGTGTGAGCCAGAATCTCAGTTTCTCAACTTTGTATCATCAGCAAACCTCTATGTGTCTTCTCGCATGGCAAATAGCATTGAAAGCGGAGCTCTGAGTTGCAAAACATTCTAAGGTTCACGTTCTGTTTGTAGGAAATGCTAGCTGGCCCTGGCAAAGCTTATCTCCCCGAGGAATCCAAGAGCTCACTGTAATATACATCCAACATTCTCCCACAGTGTTGCTTAAGGGGACATTTAGTAGAGAGTGGGCAAACTGTCTGTCAGGGAACTTTCAGGGCTTCCACAAGAGCTTCTAAAGAATCCTGGGGTACACTACCAAACAATTGCAAAATTTTATAGACTTGGGCCTAGAACTCTAGCATACAAATCCACACTAAAATATGGCTCTTTCAGTCATAGTTACAGATTTGCAGTAATGGGCTACATTAAAATTAGAAAATCTATACGCACATCAGATGGTTCAGTAAAGTTATTAATAAAAAGCATGTTATGAATAAATTGCTAATGAATGTTTATATGCTCTGAAGTGCTTTGAGATTATGAGTGGATCTAGTTTCCCACCACCAACATTCTCCTACATAGCGCTATACTCTGTGTCAATCTTTTGACATTTGTTCACAAACACGACAACTGACCAACTCAGATGTCAGCTTTGGTTGCAATTCATCCAGTCTTCCCCCCAGAGCAGTTCAGAATTGCTTTTGATGTCTGCATGGGAGACCCTCATACAATGCAGCCCTGGTGTAAGACATTATTTTTATTTTGGTTAGGATGTTGTTGGCTGCCTGTGAAGGACAGTGAATTGGACTTAGATGTGGTTTATGGAGCACAAGTCATCAAGTCTTGTAGAAGTAATTTCCCTTTTTATCATTTAATATGAAAACTCCTAACCTGTTGTCAGCTTCTGCTCCATCCCTGAGAACCACAAATCTTCATTTACCATGCTTGCTGATATGCCAATGCCAACGCAATCCTCTTTATATCTAACCTTGACAGATGTTGTCTCTTATGAGGAAAACCTTTCCCTGATCCCAATGTCTGCTTATTGTATATTTTGCATATCTTCCTATTGTTTTGTTAAATTTTTCATAAATAAGATATGTATTACTTTGATTGCCACTTCTTTATGTTTAACATCCAATTGTGCTCAGGTTCAGGTAGCTGAATACATGCAGCCTTTTGCCACCCCTGTCTATGCCACACAGATCATGGGCAGCACTTTGGATGGGTTTCCAAGAAAGGTGCTCTGGAAAGATTCCTGGATTGCAATCCCAGGAAAAGAGGCAGTTGTTTTAAAGAGCTGCAGAGAGGTGTTATATTCTTGTCTTCAAAGCACATTTTGGGAATCAAATCCAGAGCCCTAAACAGTGCTACTAAATTGCTAGATTATTAAAACACCCGAAGAATATCCACTGTTGAAACCTCAGATAAAAGCACATTTCCAGAAGGGGAAACACCTCACTTGCATCACCCCTTGAACGGCACAGCCATAAGTTAAAGTGAATTATCAATTCAGAGTGTTTAAGAAAAGGAGCTAGTTTATTTGCACTGGATCCCTATCAGCTATTACTTGCCTCAATAGCTTATTGCCTGCCTCAGCAGTGTGTCTCAGAGGCTGATACAAGCTGCAGGGGAATGTTTGTATCCCCCTTCTCTGCTGCCGTTTAAAACAGGATGCTGGATTGTATGGGACTTTGGTTTGGCCCAACAAATCATTTTTTATGTTACTTAAAAAGAACTTCTTTGCTGGATCAAGTGAGAAACCTGTTGAGGATTGTTTGTGACATGGTCAGTAAGATGCCTCTGGGAAGTTAGCAGCACAGTCATGGAGGCAAGAATTTTCTCCTGCTATCCCCCCTTTCTCCAAATGAGAACACATCGGCTTCCTCCACACAACAGGCTAGGCTAAAATGTGATTACCTTTTTTAAAGCTCAGTTTGTTATGCATGTACTTAGTCCAGTGAGTTACGTAAATACAACAAATTGGGTTAATCAAGTGAATCATGGTTAAATTAGTAAGTGGTGTATATTGATTGATTGATTTGAATTATATAGCCGCCCATCTCACGCCTGTGATTCCAGGCGACTTACAATAGTATGAACAGCGTTTTTAATTCTTCCTTGGAAGTTTCTACCCATTATGGTAGAGACAACTTTGGATTCTATTTCTCTCCTCACATGGCAAAAGATAAGATTTGAAACCCCACAGAATAACTTTTACCATCTAGAGTTTCCATCGTCTTGTAGCCTCTCTTTACATAATGTGGTTGCATATAGACACGCATTTTATCCATTAGGGGGCAAAGCAAGGGTGGTCGTGTAGGACTCCCATTAAAAGATCACTGCGGTACCGAGTCCTTTCCAAAGGCACCCACAACCACTGCGAGTCCATTCAAGGCGCGGGTTGAGGAAAGCAGTTCGTTTTCGAGCATCTTAAGAGCTAGGGGGCAAAGCAAAGCCAGGCAGGCCGCAGACAACAGGCGAAAAGATTGCTGCCGTGCGTGCCGCTCCAATTTCCGCACCGGGACTTTGAAACAACCCAAAGGGCCCGGGCCAGGTTTTACTGCGAGCCCTGCGCGCAAGGCGCAGCTCCTGCGCCCTAAGCGCAGAGCGGAGGAGGTTGGGAACGGAATTCCCAGGGCTGTTCCCCCACTCCCCAACCTCCACCCTCACCCGGCCCCCAGTGCGCATGCCAGGGAGGAAGCTCCCTTGCTCTACCCCCTCCTCTTCCTGGCACTGAGTCCAGGGGGGAGGGAGGGAGTGAGATAGGCACTGGGGGGTGGGGGTGGAGAGCACCAGCGATCCCCTGCACCCTGACCCCCCACCCACGCACCCACCCGGCACCCACCGCAGGTGGGGGACCACCCATAGCCCCCGGGAGAGACGAGAGTACAAGTTGGAGCTTGCAGCTGCTGCTGGGGAGGGGGCACCATGAACCAAGGTAAGTGCCAAAGGGGGCCCTGGGCACTCTCTGAAGTCGGGCTCGGTGGTGCATTTGGCATAGGCGAGGGAGTTGTGAGTGCCAGGAGTCGAGCCGATCTCCCCCTGCAGCTTCTCTTGACAGTTCAAACTTCTGCCGGAGTTGCCGAGCCTTTCCATTTCAGAGGAGCTGCTGGGAAAGGGCGATTTGGCCGCCACCTCTTAAGCTGCTCTTCCTGTACCAAAGGGAATAAGTAATGCCTTTGGGGAGGGGGGACTTCCCATTTAAACCCGACTGCACAAGGCTACGGAGAAAGGTTGCTGGGGTGCTTGGTGGCCTTATGTCCCCTCTTCTTTGGGAGGGGGGCTCCAAACCCCACTCCCAGGCATTCAGTTACTGCTGTGGTGGGAAAAGTTAAGCCACCCTCGCAGGGATTAAGGGGGTCCATAGCCCAAGGAAGAAGGGGCAGTACCAGAACATTACCCGGTGCTG